GTTCATTTACGTCGCACTAGAGCTGCACAATGGGCTATTGGCGACGGTCTGGGAAACATCCCTGAGGATGATCCGAAGACATGCCATCACAATTTTGATCCTCTGCAGAGGGGATGGCACCCCCGCTTCGGTAGCCCGACGACCTGCACGCGAAGTCGAGCACTTTACGGTAGAACAGTTTAACTAGGACCGATACCGCACAACCTCGGTCCCTACACAGACTGATCCAAGTGGTCCCTCACCCGCACACTGATCGCAGCCAGTGATGCTTGACTTCGGTGATCTGCTGGGACCCTAAGAAATAGTATAGCGTGTTAGTCTATAATTAAAGTTAAACCATCAGGACCAAAATTCATAATAGTGCTTAAGAGCTGGCATGTGGAGACTTAAAATATGTGATTCAAATTCAGGATCTACTAAGTGGCCCGTTTACAAGCAAATAGCACACGGGTGCTTGATTCTATAATTCTTGGATTAAAAAAAGTGCAATATTGATTCAAATGAATCCTTGAGCTATATACCCTTTCACCAAGCTCCCTTAACTATAAAAGTAATGGGGTAGGTTCCAGTGACAGCCCTAGTTATATTTTCCATGTTTCCTTTATAATACCTTTCGTAAATTGTAATGTCTCTCACAATAAGGGTCTATATGTCATTCTTTGTATTGAGTAGATAGCATATATAGATATCAACTATAAACGGTGTTAAATTATTTTAGGTATGACTGACATTTTATAATAAATGTTAAAAAATGAAGTAATTTTTCCTTTAAACATGGGGCTTATATGATATTATCAATTCTATTTCAATTTAGGGCTTATATGACATTAGCTTGTAAGCACTGTGTTCTCGAGGTGACTTTGGATCTTGAAAATGTTACTTTCGAAGTCGAACTCTGGAGCCTTAGCTTTGACACTCTGGCCCATTGTGTTATTTGTAATCATTCTGATAATGCAGTATGATTGAGAAATAAAAGTTCTAGACTGTCATAGATCCAATTGCAATTTCGTACACTGACGTATAGTATTTACGCTTGCAAGTCTTATCCTATTGATCTCGCATATAGCATACCAGTGCTTTATTAAGGACAAATCAACTTACAAGTCTTTAATAATTTCGATTTCACTTTAAAGTGAACTTCGCAAATAATTCATTTTAGTCTCACAATTGGGCACAGGTTTGCTGTTTTTTTATAAGTAGTGAGAAATTTTTATTTTTATTTTTCAGGAAGAGCTAGAAACCAAGATTCTGAAAGGATCTATAGGAAAGAGATACTATCCTACCTCCAAATACTTTGAAACATGCTGGTAGTGGGTTCGAATTTCATCGTAACTCTAGATTGTGGGATATGTAATACTGTAGGGTCACATCCTTAATTTTCTTCATAAAAGCACAATTTTTCCAAAAAATGTTCTGTTAGTTGGCGTCTAAATATAAAAAAAATTACCAATTTCAATTTCCAGTACATATTTATTTTTTGGTTTAATAATGTGAACATATTTGGGTTAATGTGTTTCCTGTCCCTAAATAGAATTCGTTGTTGTTGTTTATTTACGTCGAACTAGAGCTGCACAATGGGCTATTGGCGACGGTCTGGGAACATCCTGGAGGAAGATCCGAAGGCATGCCATCACAATTTTGATCCTCTGCGGAGGGGATGGCACCCACGCTTCGGTAGCCCGACGACCTGCGTACGAAGTCGAGGGCTTTACGGTAGCACAGTTTAACGAGGACCAATTCTGCACACCCTCGGACCCTACACAGACTGATCCAAGTGGTCACCCGCCCGCACACTGACCGTAGCCAGTGATGCTTGACTTCGGTGATCTGCTGGGAACCGTGTCTTAACGATCAGTCCACTGCGGGACAAATAGAATTCGACAGTCAATAATTATTAAAAAAAAATGCCAAATATATGCGCTAAAGTGTATGGCACAATTTTAAGAAATACGATACCATTAAAATATACTAGTGTTTTAAAAATATTAGTTTTGTGTTGAGTTTCTGACATTCGTTGATAATATATCTTTCCATCAATAGTCAAATTTTTCATGAAGACTACTCGATATTTGACTTTTTTTTGAGAAACAGTTATAATTTGAATCTTAAGGTCATAATATCTTTTTAAGGAACAACCGGTAGGGCGCTGGGCCCATGTCCGAGAGTTCGTGGATTTGAACTCCATCGGTCGAAGACTACCCCGTGTAGTAAAGTGATTGATGCACGTTAAATCTGTCGAGTCTCAAAAGTCCTCCATGTTCCCCTAACAAATCAAAACCTCTGGGGGTACTGGATTGGAGATCGATCGTTCTCTGATTCAGGTCTAAATTACGATCTGTGGATGCATGAATAGGTATATGAATGGATCCGCCCTAAAAACGGGTGAGGCGTATGGTGTGGCAAAAGTGGAATTCTTGGCCATAGATGGCGCCACTGGAAAACAAGAACAATCGCACCCCCTCTGCCTAAACAGGCATACGTCAACAAGGAACAACTTATAAAAAAAATATGTATGATAAAAATCAGTGGTATAACTAGCTCATTGTGCCTTATTGGCAAAATAAAAATTTGCTCCCTTTTTAAATCTAAAAGTCGTTGTTTCTGAATCGTAAACCATTAGTTTTCTTTGTGATGCTCTATGAAATATTGCTGTCTAAAGTTATTTTTATTAATCGTGTGGGAAAAAACTATAAGAAAGTACTAATTTTACAGTCAATAATTACTTATAAGGCGCTGATTAGCAAAAAACTTGCAAGTACTTATTAAAACGCTTAAGATATCAGTTAAATCCTATATCTAATACAAAATGTCCGTTATTGCTGCCCTTTATATATTTCTAGTATTGTCCTTACATAAGTGGTCAATATTAAAATTTATTCATTTAGAATTTCAAATTAATATTTAAGTGAGAAAGGAAAACAAGCACTTATTACCTAAATCAGGCGAATCAGTATGGGGAAAAATAGGTGGCATTGAAATAATTATACCTAGTTTATTTTACTGATAAAACTCAAAATGGTCCAAACATCGTTTCCTCCATTTAATTTTTTTTTCAACAAATAAACTAGCTTGATTATTTTGATTTTACCTTCATGATGATTGACTTCGATTATGGTTCGAAATATTTTGATAACTTCCTTGTGTTTTCTCCTTTTTTTAAATATTAATTTGCGACCTACATAATATTTTAAAGTAATTTTTTTAACAGAGATCATACAGTAGATATTCTGTGCGTGAAATAAAAATGGAACACTTTATTGAATATTCACGATCGATTTTAAATCCAATCGTATTGGTTCGAGAGTTTAAATATATTAACTAATAAGAACAGAAAATATTTGGAACGATTTGGGTTCCTTAACTCTCAAAAAAAAAATTTGGGTAACCGCAATCTCCTTCGGGCTTGATTCCTTGAGTTTCGTAGTTACGTTTTGGGAAAGCAAGGAATATCAGATTCCAGTTTTTGGTTTTCTTAAGGAAAATGAATTCCGATTCCTCGGAGTTTGTGGAAGGACTACTCTTGGAAAATAAAATCTCAATAGTTTAATCTGGTGCGTGGTTTAAAGTCTAGAGCCCTAAATATTAATTTCTCTTTTTGCATATTTCGCCTTTACTCTAAATCTTTGAAATCAAAAATTAATTTATGCAGACGACTATGAAAGTCGTTTACCCAAGAATAATTCCACGCTGAAAAATATTTTTTAACAATATTTATTAATTTAAAAATGTTAAACAAATATCAAATTGTAAGGCATTTGTTTTGTAGCATTTGAAATTTTCTGACTATTATTAAATTAAATCCAACTGAAAATGGAATTTTTACATTCTTAAAAAAGTTTTTGATTCGATAAAATATTTTCTCAGTGATAAGTCGAAATAGGAAAAATCGAAATTAGCATTAAAGAATTAAAAATTTTGGCCCCTCTTCTGATTTATCTATCCGATCGTACTTTGAAGATAGCTGCTATCACAATAATTTAAGGGTCAAGATTCAAAATCTATCATAAAAATGCTATGTTTATTTAGTAAAAGTACGCTTTTGTATTTGATTTTATAACCTAAATTTTTTTCCAAACCTAAATTCTTAAATTTTTAGCACATAAAATTAATTGCGCGACTTTAAATCTTTTTAATATAGCTATTAAAATTATTTATGTAAAAAGATTTTGGGCGAAAAATAATTATAGTTTATATATTTTTTTATTTAATTTAATTAAGTTATAAAATATTTTGAATGATCACGTTATGTTACGCAATTGAAATTAGCAACTTTAAAAATTCGATTCTAATGAAATCAGTTGGGTTGTTCAGGAAAAATAAACTCGTTCTTTAAAATTTTTATTCCTCAGAAGGTTTAATTAGATTTCGCTTAAACATTCGATTTAGTTTAACTCAATGTAATATTTTTTTAATCCTTATAAATCAGAAAATTTCGATCTCCTATCATTACTGAATTAAATAATAAAAATTAAGGCAATTACTCAGTCGATGCTACTTGACTATTTGTTTGATATGAGTTTTGATCATTTATTAAAACTGTATCTGATTTTTTGTCATCAATAACATAAAAACTACGTTTTCTTATTGAGGAAATAAAAAATTAAGAAAATACTTTTTCGCAGAACTCATTAAAAATCTTACATGTTTTTGAAAAAATTGGACATTAGAGGCAAGATTTTTTTAAATAAAAATTGTAATAAAAGTAGCCAACTTTTTATCCAACACAATTTCAGCAAAAGTGTCTGTAATTTTTTCATCTTCTTTTTTTTTTGTTTTATATAAATTCAAAATTTGCTTTGTTTTGTAATAAGAAGAGACAGATTTACTTCTGTTGAAAATTTATGTAAATTTATTCAAGGATATACATCATGTAATCGAAAAGGAAATTCAGAAACCTAATTTCTGTCTTTGAAAATTTTAAATAAATAAATGTGTTTTAAAGTATTTTTTACATATGAAATTCGAAACCTAATTAAAACAGCAAAAGCTTCTCAAATATTTTTTACTTTTCTCGGTAAAATTCAAGGAAAAAATCAACTTTTGAGAGTCAATAAAAATAATTTTTATATGGAGTCTTTTAATTAGCACAAGCATACGCGATTTTGTAATGCTCCGTACTACAGAGTACAAACAACTTTTTATTTCAACAAAATCTTAAAATTTTACATAAAATTAGAGTGAAACTTTACGATGTTTTTTAGCTTTGTTAAGTTATTTCAAATGTAAAGAAAATTTAAGAGTGGCAGAATATAATTTCAAAATAGTGGAATGAAACCTATATTACTCTACTACTCTGTACACGCATTAAAAAAGTATGAATGATAACTATATATTTTATAAGATTGCTCTGCCTTTTAATTATGAGTCTTGATAACGTTATTTTCACTTGACGTAGCTTTCACTTCTTCACTTAAACGTAAAAAAAAAAGTGCATTTAAAACAAAAGAACAAAGAAGACACTTTAAAAGTTATTTGAACTGACAAAATAGTTTTTATCGCAAAGAGGGGTTATTATGCTTCTCAGAAAAGTTGGAGATTGTAATGAAAATTAAGGGAATAATAATTTGTTTTGAAAAAAGAAACATGGAAGAGCTTAATTAAGAAGGGGTGCTAATCTTCTACCAATAAGATAAAATAGTGTGCTTGAAAAAATGTCATAAAAACCTTCATGATAGGGGAGGGGTAAATACCAGACTTTGTAAGATAGATCAGAGATAGATCAATCAGATCTTTGTAAGATAGATCAATCAGAGAATCCAAAGATAAAGATGAGTAAGAGAAGTGGAACGTTATTCAGAACTAATTCTCTGGCTTTCGTCATCCCTCTTTTTTGACAACTTGAAAATTTCTACGACATTGCTCTAGCCATATTAGCGACCCCAATTTGATAAATAACATCATAAATAAATTTTTATTAAAAATTTAGAGTTAAAAATTTGTGAAATTAATTTATAAATTGTTTATTGTAATTTAATTTTAGAAACTTTTTATGAAACATTTTTGTCATTCAGCATAGTATTTTAAAATATATTATGTACTCCGTTTTTCTATTTAAATGCAGCAAAAAATATCCAAATAAATTAAAAATTATTACATTGAAGATTCTAAGCCATTGGCGATCGAAATGGGCTGCAGGTGGCGTAGAGATGAACTCTCTACCTATGGCAACACTTCGCATGCGTTTTCCACTAGGGTGTGAAGAGTCATAAAGGAAGTACGTTAGTTTCTCTCCTGATTTTTATATAGATTAAAATCTTATAAGCTGGAAAACTATATGGAACTGAAAACTACATTAAACATAGTTCTAAAGAAAAGCATCACAGAAATTTTAAAAAATATTTTTATCAAATAAAAAGGAAAATGGTTGTAGTTGTTGTTAATTTACGTCGCACTAGAGCTGCACAATGGGCAATTGGCGACGGTTTGGGAAACATCCCGGAGGATGATCCGAAGACGTGCCATCACAATTTTGATCCTCTGCTGAGGGGATGGCACCCCGTTTCTGTAGCCCCGACGACCTGCGCGCGAAGTCGAGCACTTTACGGTAGCACAGTTTAACGAGGACCAATACCGCACACCCTCGGTCCCTACGCAGACTGATCCAAGTGGTCACCCACCCGCACACTGACCGTAGCCAGTGATGCTTGACTTCGGTGATCTGCTGGAAACCGTATCTTAACGATCAGTCTACTGCGGGACAAAGGAAAATGGAAAATATCGTAGTACATTCCTATACAAATGAAAATAGGAGGAGATGGAAAGAAGAAAGGCCAAAGGCATGAAACCGGTCTCTCCCCAGATGGCGTACCAGCTTGAAAAAGCAGCAACACCAGAAAGCCTCAATAATTCAGATAAAGTAAAGAGACGGAAGCGTTTTAACTTTGTGGTTTATTAAATTTTTTAAGAGTTAAATTTTGGCAACATTTCTGGTTTGTTTATTATTGTATAGAAATGGCTGCCGGTCCGATTGCTGAAAGAAATCAGGGTATGTTTAATTTTTGTGATGCATTACCAAATAAAATCTTCATCATACATTGTTTGACTAAATTTTATATTCAAAATTAATTCTTTCAGTTTTTCTAAACATTAAGAGCGTTTTCCTTTTTATTTTGTAGTTATGTTCAACTCTTCCTTAACCGCTTAAAATGGAAAATGCATAGTTCCGTCTAATGAATATTGTTCTTCTGTGTGGAAATTAAGCCGGTCCTCAAATAGGGGATTTTTTCTGCCATTATTACTGCTTCAAGTTTTATTTCTTAATCATTTTTTACAATAAAATCTAATTTTTTGTATTGATGATTGCCGAATTTTAGTCACCCTGAGTCTTAGAATATTCTTGAAACTTAGATCTTTTAAGACTTATCATTATCACAGTAGTGTTTATATTGACATTTATTATTTTAAGAGCACAGAATTTGCCTTAGGTTTTATTTTTAGATTAATTTGAATGTGTTAATGTTTTCTCATTAATAAAACTATCCACAGATGCTACCATATATGTGGGAGGTCTTGATGAAAAAGTTAGTGAAACTATTTTATGGGAGTTGTTTGTTCAAGCTGGTCCTGTTGGTAAGTTATATTAAGTTAGTCAATTTGTTAAAATTAAGTTTTCTCGTTGTTTCTTGCATGGAATTTTGATACTGTTTGCAGAGTTTTTCATTTAGAAGAAATTAAATCTATACTTTTATATGTTATACCTACTATATTTATTTTTTTGAGGTTATTAGTATTGTTATCATAAACAGATTTGAGATATTTGTGCGATTACTTATGTTTTCTACACTAATCATAAATTTAAACTTTATTGTTTAAATTATATTCACATTATAATTTACATGCTTAGATGTGCTTTTAATTTTTTCGTCTATTATTTAATTGGTTTTATTTGGTCAACATCACGCTAGACCTACAATAATGGACTAGAATTCGTTCTTTATGATGATCAAAAGACAATGCTGACTTATACCCTCACTACACTACAATAATTTAGATTGTAAAAGGCATGGATACTATAGTAATCACCCAGCCTCAACACTATTTTTCCCAATTATGCATTTAAAATTCATTATGAATACTGATTATAGAAAGTTTAAGCTCTTTTCTCCTGAATGTATTAGTTTAAGCTATTGAAAACATATTTTAGACAAAATACTTAGAGAGTTAAACATAATATCATAAATGTTGGTTCCAATTCTGCAAATGTTGTAATTTTGTTTTTGAATTTTAGTTAAAACTTAAAAATTAAGACTCCATATCTAGCTTATGCTCTGATCAGTGTTAGATCTAGTTACATCATCTCAAATTTCATTCACTTTCATTTTTCCAATTTCTAGTTTTAAAACAGACAGAATATTCAAAGCCACAATTTTTTAACATTGCAAATATCTTTCTTAAGGAGTTTTTTTGTTAAAGAGATTTTTTATTTATTTTTTAGAAAAATGGGTTAGTTGAGTAATTAAGGATAGAAATGCTTGTCAAACTACAATAAAAGTAAAGTTTAAATGGCAATCCATATTTTGTCATTTCAAATATTTATATGTAAATAGATAGTTTTTCAGTAGTAATTATGATACATTTCTATTCCATTCTTATTCATTTGAATTATACACAATGTATTACTACCAAACACTTTTTAATAGAATAATATTGTTTAAAATCTATTGCAATGATTTTTTTTTAATAATGTTTCAACTATAATTATATTTCTAAAATTTATCTGGTAGTGAGCTGGTCATGAGACACTGTTTCCAGTAGATCAAGCATCGCTGGCTGATGTCATTAAGGGTGGGTGACTACTTTTATCAGCCTGCAAAAGGACCGAGGGTGTGTAGTATCAGTTTTTGTAAAAATTGTTCTACTATGAAATGCTTGACTTCGCGCTAAGGCCATCAGGCCACCCAAAGGAGAGCCAGCCCCTCCACAGAGGATCAAAATTGCGATGGCATGTCTTTAGACCATCCTTAAGGGTGTTTTCCAGACAGTTGCCAATAGTTTATCGACAATGTCGCCAATGGTTCATTGTTAATGTCCCCAATAACCCAGCTCTAGCGTCATGTAAATAGTGTAATGTAATTTAAATCAACTGTTTTTTTTACTACTACTACTACTACATTTATAAAATTTAAGGAATTATAAATGTAAGGTTTTAAGGTCTTAAAATAAAGTGACTCCGATTTAAATCAAAGCTGATTTAAATCATCAAAGAGAGCTCATTTTTAATAAAAAAAATCACAGTCCTTTGTTTAAGGTTATTATTATTCCATTTTTCAAATTTATTGTAATTTTTCAGTGAATGTGCATATGCCTAAAGATCGTATTACAGGCCAGCATCAAGGGTATGGTTTTGTTGAATTTTTGGGTGAAGATGACTCAGATTATGCTATCAAAATTAAGAACATGACAAAACTATATGGCAAGCCTATAAGAGTGAATAAGGTAAGCATAAAATCTGTAAACTCTTGCCATTCAAATTTTTTTATGTATTTTTCTATTATCTATACCACATTAATTTACTTCAAGTATATTATACTACCATATAATTATGGATTTGTTTCAAGCAATTATTTTGCATAGGCAGAGTTGGGGAATGACTTTTAACCTTACAAATCCTTTCTTGAGCATAATTAATGTTCATCTTAATATCTTTATTTAATCCAATATTTTCATTTTGTCTAAGCATCATAAAAAATTTAAACGCTTTAAAATCTCCATACCAATTATTAACTCATTTTGTATATCCAGTAAAACATTAACATTTGTTGACTCTGAAAAATTATTAATAGACATATGGCAATTAAAAACAACCAATTGGATTGATACACTTGTTATTTACTCAGTTAACTTAAAATTATCATTTCTCAATTCTGGTCACCCAATTTTTTCACAGAAATTATTGTACCTGTACACATTTATTGCTTCATACATTTTATCAAAAGTTATTATACCTTTCGTCAATTGGAAGAATTCAAGAATGATTATCACATTCCTTACTAGATAAAAATGCTTTATAAAATTTACATGATAATTATTTTTTACATAGTGTACGACTAACTTGGCATATTTTCATTCTTATTAACTATTTCTTGTTTATATTTACATAGGAAATTGTGCAGCTTCTCAATTGTCTAATGTACTAGTTGGTTTTTCAATGTTTTGATTTTCGGCAAAGTTTTAAATATATTAGTACATCCTTTAAGTGTGTCCGTCCAATGATGTTAAGAAGTATATTCAGGGTTGAAAAGCATTTTTAGGAAAATATTTCTTAACCTTATCAAATTCTGAATAATTTTTTTTTCTTCATATTTGGAGTTGTTTTTATATAGGTAATTCATAATTTCCAAGTATTTTCCTAATTGTATGTTACCTTACTTATTCCTTATTCATGTTTATTTATGTATTTTATTTTTTAATATATTTATTTTTTACCCATAATTTTTTAAGAAATTGTCTACTAATTGAAATTTTAAGTTTGATAAATTTTATGTTAAATCTAAGAATTGGATTCACTAAAATCAATTTTGATCTGGAAATGTATTTCAGTGAAATGCACTTATATTTTATTTTGTAAAATTTCTTAATGAGTTTTTAAGTTTTTTTTTTTTTTTTTTTTTTTTTTTTTTTTTTTTTTTTTNTTTTTTTTTTTTTTTTTTTTTTAATTTTTTGATGCAGCACATACATTAGCTGATAAAATGGCTGGTTATTCTTGATTGCTAATTCTATTGAACAATTGAAAACATTTAACATTCATTTATACTCACAATAATTTTTGATCTTGTATTTGAATGAGTCCTTTTTTTTGTTGTTGTTCATTTTGTTTCATCGAAACTTTGTATATCCTTATGTGTTAATTTTTTATTTATTATTTATTTATTTTTGATTTCTGTTTTTATTTTATAGGCCTCAGCTCATCAAAAAAATTTGGATGTTGGTGCAAACATTTTTATTGGCAATCTAGATCCAGAGGTCGATGAGAAGCTATTGTATGATACGTTTTCTGCTTTTGGTGTGATTCTCCAAACTCCAAAAGTAATTTTAATGATCATTTCTGCTAATGCAACCTCTAGAATAAGCTTTATTTCCCAAAATATTTTCTTCAGGGAATATTTTAAAACATAAAACTTACATGTATATATATATTAAAAATCATAGTGTATTATGTTAAAAATTGCATATTAGTAAAAACTTCTTAATTTAAGTTTTTTCTTAATTCTTATAATTTTATTTTTTACTTTTGTGATCACAGTACAAAATAATATTTGGCCTCTGAATGGCTGCTTTTTTAGGATTAAAAAATAACCTTTTCTCTCTTTTATTTTTTTTTTCATCTGTAGAGTTATGTGTTTTTCATAATAGATTTTTTTGGGAAATATATATTCAAAAATCTGGATAACATGTACAAACTAGGTAAAAAAAATAACTAGGTCAGTTGAACATTTTGTAAATTTACTTTCAATGAAAAAAGTAAAACTTATGTCTTATTCTCATTATTTTTGATGTGTTTTAAGCAATTTGAAATTTCAAATAGTAAAGTGATACTGAGAAAATTGAATTGTTAATTGAAATTTTTTCCTAGATACTTTTTCTCTTAGAAAATGTTTCTAATTTTGCATTAATGTTTAATGATTATTTTGGCGTACGATTCAAAAATTTGTGTAAATTTTTAAAAACTATTGTTTTATCTTAAATTATTACAAATTTAAGGCAAAGCTGAAAATGAGGAGTTCATAATTAGAAGAAGAGGATATGTTTCTAATTTTTTAGCATAAAACGTAAGTCACGTTAAACTTAAAATGTAATTTAAGTTAACTTGATTAAAAAATTATATTTTTAAATTTATTGTTACTTTAATTTCAGTTGAGTTTATTAACATGTAATTACTTTCAAACTAGATATAGTAAAATTATACTTACGGGAAAATGTTAAAATATTAAATAAAAAAAATTTTTAAATGATCAAAATTGGAAACAGGGTTAAAAATTCTTTATGAAATAATATTAATTGAAAAATGTTTGTAAAAAATTTGAAAAAAAAAAAAGATTTGTTATTAATTGAAACAGATTGTAGTTAGTTTATCAATTCAAAATACAAGCAGAGCCCTGCTAAACATTCGCTACATCACTAAGAACATCAATTTTTCATATTATTTCATTCATTCATATTCATTATTATTTCATATTCATATTATTTCACAAAATTCATATTATTTCATCAATATGAATTTTTCTGACAAATCTTGTATTTTTTAATTTGATTACAGTATGTTTCTTTAGATATGTTGCATAACTAATTAGAAATTATATTAAGTCCAGATAATGTAAGCAATAAGAGGGATTATGTTATCATTAAAAAATATTACAGATTAACATGTTCATTGCCATATCACATGATATTGCATTGCAAATTCTTTACCACATTTTGCATCAATGAAGCAGATTAAGTGGTAGTTAAAGGCGTATTATCATCCAGCTATTTTTCCAAAAAAATATGTGTTAGTTTAATAATAGCATATTGTTTATTAAAATAAACTTATTGTAAAATTTAGGAATTAAAATAAAGAAAATTTAACTGTGATTTTATCTTTATGGATTACCACTTTTCAATGATAGATATAGTATAACCACCTGTACTCGGCTGGCAATGAACATGTTAAACAACCGTCCAAATTTTGTTAAAAATCTCTGAGTAGAATAAAAACCAATAAAGCAGAATTAAATTATTCAAATAACTTATCTCTAACCCCAATCCTTTTTTTCTGAATGATTGCAATTGTGACAGTAAAAAATTTGCAAGACAGTAAAATCTCTTTTGTTAAAAGATGAAAGTCTTGATGAATATTTAAAATAAAATATATTTATTTAAAGTTAGACTGAAAAAGAAACATCAAATTTTGCATAATGTTTACCTTTATATTACTGCTCTGATCTAAGAAGTTATCAAATATGACCCTCAACCTGATACTTATTTCGTTCCCTTAAAGATGATAAAACATCTACATTATTGACATATTATTGGACAAATTAATTATAAAGATTTGTTAAGATTTGCCTTTGGCTAAAACTTTCAAAATTTGGCTGACATGTTTGATATTTGGATAATTTAGTGTCTAATAATTTGAAGTATTTAGTGTGGAACCCGATAAGGTTTTCCATTGCACATTTAATTTTATAATTAAGTTCAGTGAAGTTTTATTTTTTATAAGCAATATTGCTTTTAGCATAAATCTTGATATGAGTTATTTTATTACCATGCTAAAGTCAAAGATTTTGAACCAGAAGGAAAAAAAAAATTTGTTCAGCATTGGAAATTGGCTGCAAAAACTGAAAAACATTTTTAAAAATAAATGCAGGTGTGTAATGTGGTTTTAGCTTATATAATTTTCTGTACATTTATAGAACATGACATAGCAGGGCTCGAAAAAACTCAGAAATTTTACCCGTCCCCGAGGACGGCGTGACGCATAGTACCCGTCCTCCTTTGAAACTAACCCGTCACTTCTAAATAAATAAAAATATAATTTTCTCTTATTTATTACTAACATTTATATAGATTGCACAATGAATTAGTAGTTACTAGGATTACATTATACAAATACTATAAATAGTAATAAAAGAAATACTAGGTTACTAATAGTAAAACCTAGTACAGTAGAGAACCATTTATCCGGTATCCAGATAACCGGGAAACCAGAAAACCGGGAAAAATTTTGCTCGATTTTCCCGCCATTTTAAAATAGAACGAAAAAAGCGGAAATTGGACTCATCCTCGAAGTTGAGTGGAGGAAAATGTGAGGAAGGGGAAATTTTTTTTCCCCATTTACCCAGAGAAACGTCATTTCCTCCGTGACCTTGAAGGCAGGGAAAGGAGGAATGTTTTATTTTTTCTTTTAGGCCGTCAATCAAACTCAAGGGTGTGGCATGCTGATTTCGTTTTCTGCTTGATTTACGAAGGGGGTGGGGAAAATGCATTGCATGCATATCAGTGAACAGAAAAAGAAAAGTGAAAAATAAATTTATTTGACATCGACTAATAAAAATAAAATCTTTTTCTTTTGAATAAATTGTCATTCTTTGGAAGTGCGGTATCAATTGCAAGTTTTCCTTGGTGTGGAATCACATCTGCTGTAATTAAAAATCTTGTTTTTATCAAAAAAATAAAATAAAAGGAGAATTGTTTATTAATTTAAACATAGGATTATTTTATGAAACAGATTGCAGTTTTGTTTTTCTGATTCCACTACGTTTGATTTTTTTTCTTTTCGCACTCAATAAATTAATTCTTTTTATTCGTAAATTTTATCATTAGTTTTTTTTTTTAATTCCGTTGATCTTGCCTTGTTCCGGGTTTTAATATTTATGCTAGTGCCTTTTTTAACTATCGTTTCGGTCCGATAATTTTCAAGTGTTTTTATTTAGATTAATAAGTTTTCCTTTTATTTTATCGTTTCCCCCGTATAATTAGGTATGAAATATATTGCGTTATTTAATCATTGGTTTTGTTTATATTATTTAATTTAGGAATTGTAATTATTTTTAAAAAATAAATATGAGA